CTCTCGCCACATGCCAGGAGCCCCTGGGCTTCTCCACGTCCTTCTTCCCTCATCCCACCCCCCATTCCTTGTGCCTTCCTCTGCCCTCTGTGCCCTCTGCCAGCTCCTCTTCCCCACCCTCCCCAGGAGCCCCCTCGGCCCCCCAGTCCTGTTCCATCCCCACTCACCAACCTCCCCTTCCCACCATCCTCCCACTCAGCACCCTCCGGGTAAGCCGGGGGGTCCTGGGGGTCCCCATCCCTCCTTCTCCAAGGAAAGGTGAGACCACCCGGTGCTTCCCACCCCGTTCCCTCCATCCAGCACTGCCAAGGGGGGGCCACCACCGTGGGCATGGGCAGAGAGGATCCCCGGGGTGCTTCCAGCATCCCCAAATGGGCAGCCCAGGCCGGGCCTCCTGCGTGATCCTCGCTGCCCAACGGAAGGGTTTGGGATGATTTTTCTGTTCCTGCCACGGTTTCTCCAGCTGAGGAGCTGGGAGTGGCTGGGGGGGCACAGAGAGACCCCCAGACTGGAGGTGTGAAGGCCTGGGGGGGGTCCTGGGTGCTGGTACAGGTTTGGTGCTGGGGCAGTTTCTGCGGTGTCACCCTCCCCGTGGGGTGTCACCCACCCGCCCCAGTGCTCGGCTGTGACAGCGCTGGGCAGGGGGAGCTGCACTTTCACCCGGCAGTGGGTTCCCGGCTGCCCGGCAGTGATGGGTGTCCCGGCCACGCAGGACCAGGACCCTCTGGCACGGCTGGGTGGGCACCGACCGGGCACGGGGCAGAGCCTGGCACTGCTCCCCACTGGAAATGGGGCTCCACCGCTGGCACCTGCGGCTTGGCAGCCCCCGAATCCTTCCCGGGCATTAATCACCCAGGCGGTGTCGGCAGCAGATGGTGAGACGGACCCGCCGCCCCGAACCTCCTCCAGCAGCCACAGCAACTCCCGGCGCTGCGGCGGCTTCTGGATTCGCCAGCGCTCGGGCAGAGGCCGCTGCCAGCTCCTGCTGGCACCCGGTGCCAAGGACCGTCATCCGCCGATGGCCCCGACCCTCCGGGATGGGCGCTGGCATCTGCCGGGCGCTCCATCATCGCAGCTCGGCTCGAGCAGGGCGCTGCCGAGCAGGAGCTGGGCCGTACTGGGGGCACTGGGAGAGGCCGGGGGGGCCGGTGGGGAGCGAGGGCTGGGCAGGGGGACGCTGCTGTGGGCTGGTGGTGGCGGGCAGAGGGGTCGGAGTGACCCTTTTCAGCGCGTTTCCACGTGCCACCCGAGTGGGGACACAGTCACGGCGTGGGGGCTGTTCGGGTGGGGGTCCCCAGCCCCCCATCTCTGGCTGCAGCCGCCGAGCGGAGCCGCGGACGGGGCCGGGGGTTGGCGAGGCGGCTCCGGCGGCCCCGCCGCCGTTAATGGGCACGGCGAGGCTCCGGCTCCCAGGGGCACGGCTGGCGCCGGGCTCATTACGCGCCCGCGGCTTCCCCGGCGCGGGGGCCGCGGCAATTTGGGGGAGGTCAAACCCGCCTCGGCTCGGCTCCGATTGAGGCCGCGCCGCTCCGGGCACGGGGGGATTGGCAGCGCCAGCGGAGACGGGGAGATGGAACCGGTGGCTCGGCCGAGGTGTGACGGGAGCCGCTGTGGGCACGGAGAGGGGGGGCGAGGGCACCTCGTGCTCGCAGGGACATCTGTGGTGGGGCCGAGGTCACTGAGTGCCCCCCCAGACTGGCTCTGGACCCCCAACTGCTCGGCCCCAGTGTGTCCCAGTCCTTTCCAGCAAGGGGAACTGAGCACTCCTTGCCTTGAGCTGCGCCAGGAGATGGTGCAGGGGGGGGCAGGGCCTGGGGGGCTGTGGGGGGACAGGGACACTGCCGGGGCCACGGTGTGGCTCAGGGACCGAGTCCCTCCAGGAGGAACCATGAGCTGATGCTCAGCCCTGAGCCGGAGAACTGGGAACCCTGGGAATGCCGGGAATGGGGTGCTCAGGACCGAGTACCTCGGGGAAGAACCATCAGCTGAGGCTTGGCCCCGAACGGGGGCACTGGGGATGCTGGGAATGCCGGGAATGGGGTGCCCAGGACTGAGTCCCTCGGTGAGGAACCGTGAGCCAGGGCTGAGCCCTGAGCAGGGGCGCTGGAAATGCTGGGAATGGGGTCCCCGGGTCCTCAGCAACACCGGCACGGGGCAGCCACAGGCAGAGGGGAAGTGATTTCTCATTCCAAATCCAATTCCTCTCCACCACGAGCCGATTTTTCTCTCCCTCTTTTAATTCAGTCACTCAAGCTGACAGCTACACTGTGTACCACAGCCCGGCTACAGGATTGCTCTGCCATATTCCCCCTGTAAATCTCCCGGCGTGTCAGCTCTGCCTTTCACTCTCCAGTCCGCCTGATAAATATTCATTTTATTGGGGTATTTTTCATTTCTCTCTCTCTCTCTCTCTTTCTCTCTGCAGCTCATTCCCCTCATTGGCTTCATCAGTGTGGGCCTGGGCAGCGCGGTGCTGTACCTGCTGAGGCTGGCTCTGTACAGCCCCGACGTCAGGTACGGCTCGGGGGGCCCTGGGCACCCCCTGGGCTCTCATCCCGGGCACCCCTTGGGCACTGGCCCTGGGCACCCCTTGATCTCTCACCCTGGGCACCCCCCGGGCTCTCCCCCCCCTCCCTCAGAGCGTGGGGGGCTCAGCCCCGGCGTGGTGAGCGGGTGTTGGGGTGCCCAGACACACCCGACCCCTTCCTGGTGAGTGGTGGGGGCAAATGTGGGTGCAGAGGTGCCCCGAGGGGGTGAGGGAAGCTGGGGGGTTGTGTCCCCTCTCCTTGTTTTGGGGGGGATGGGAGAAGGGCTCCTCCAGCCTCCTGCTCTGGGCACTGGGAGGAGGGTGGGTGGGTGGGTGACAAGGGGGGGAAAAGCTGAGTGTGGCTGAGGGACAAGGGGGAAAAATGTGGGGAGGGAACTGAGGGGAACGGTGGGATGGATGGTTAGAGAAGGAATGAAGAGAGGGAGGGAGGGAGGGAGGGACAGACAAAACCAGCAGGAAGGGATGAGCAGAGGGAGAGGTGTGAGGATGGAGGGGTGGAGGGGGGATGGAGGGATGGAAGAACGAGCGGAGGAAGAGGAAAGGTGTGAGGTGTGAAGATGGATGGAGGGATGGATGGATGATGGATGGGTGTGGGGAGGGTGGGACTGAGGGAGGAATGGGAAATGGTCAGATGGATGGTTGGAGAAGGAATGGGGAGAGGGAGGGAGGGAGGGACAGACAAAACCGGGGGTGGGGGAGGAAGAGTGGAGGGAGAGGTGTGAGGATGGATGGAGGGGTGGGGGACGGGGGGGGTGCCTGGGTGGAGGGAGGGATGTGGAATTGCAGAGGATGGATGGGCAGGACAGCCCTGCGTCCTGGGGGGACCAGGCTGGCTTTGCCGTGCCCCCACAGCCCCCCCACCTCGCTCATAATTATTTGCTCCCGGTAAAACCACTCATGGATTTAATCTGGCACCAGCTGAGCTCAGCTCTGCAATTAGCGGATCCAGACACCTTGGCTTGGAGGGTGGGAGTGCAGGGGGGTGTTTGGGGGGGGACAACAGCCCCCCCAGCACATTAATGCCATTAACAGCTCCGGGGGGGCTGTCCTTGCAGCACGGCCCCCCCTCCATCCCCCGAGAACACACACAAACATCTTCCCAGATGGAAAATTCTGCTCTTGGCCGGCACCAGCGGATGGGGGGGGGATGATGGAAGAGGGGGGCACGTGAGCTGTTCTCTCCAGGGACCCCATCCCACGGCTCTGCCGGCCTCCCAAAGCCCCTCCCGGGACAGGACGGGATGTGTCCGGTGTGGGAAGGCTCCGAGGAGAACTGGGGATGGTGACACCGGGGCTGGGGGCTCGCGGGCGGTGGGGTGGGGTGGGGTGGGGTGGGGTCTCTCCCCACTCCCTGCAGGTGCTGATGTCCCCCCACCACCCCCCGCAGCTGGGACCGCAAAAACAACCCCGAGCCCTGGAACAAGCTGAGCCCCACGGACCAGTATAAAGTGAGCACTGGGTGAACTGGGGAGGGGGGAGCAGCCACGTTTAGGGCAGGGCTTTCTCCTTGGGAAGGGGAAAGGGGGATCAGCCCCAGAGGGGAGGTTCGTGGGCCCCACAGCTCCTTGTGCTCAGATTTGGGGAGGGGGGCACTGCGTGTGTCCCCCCCACCTCGGGGCCAAGGTGCAGCGACAGCAGGGGGGGGAATCCCGACCCCCCCTCACCTCCCTCCCTTCTCCAGTTTCTGGCAGTTTCCACTGACTACAAGAACCTCAAGAAGGAGCGTCCCAGCTTCTGAGCCACCCCCGGGACCTGCTGGGGCAGGGGGGGGACCCACCCCCCCCAGAAGCCCCCCCACGGCCCCTCCAGCTCTGCCAAAGGTCCCACCGCTCCCCCAGCACCCCAAAACCGTGTGGCCGAGTCCCCCCCCCAATAAACCACGTCCCTGCAGAGCCCCCACGCCCCTCACTGTCACGTTGTGCCTGCATTGAACTCCTAGGACGGTAATAAATGGGGGGGGGGCAGCAAAGCGGGTCATTTATGGTTTCCCAGGGCCTGTAATGCAGGAGATGTTCTCACACCCCCTCCCCCGGGAAGGCTGGGGGGGGTCACATCCCACTGGAAGCAGCACAAGCCCCCCCTGGGTGCTGCATTTCCGCTCTCCCACGCTCCAGGCCCCCCCCCGGACCCTCTGGAGAGAGTGAGGGGGTGGAGGGGTCACCTCCACACGTGTGTGTGGATGTTCATGTGTGTGCTGGAGGCGTGTGCACCCCCGGCACACGTGACACGGGGCAGGGTCTGGCTGGGCAGGAAAAGGGGGGGTAGGGCAGCCTGGGCTATGGCCCCCTGACTTGTTTTGGGGCTCAGTGTCACCCCCTGTCCTCAGAGCCCACTGGGTGAAGCCCCAGGACGGGGACACCGAGGCACAGAGACCCCCCAGCTCTCCTGGTGCAGCACCGAGGGGCTCCAGGAACCCGCCCCCAGCCCCCCCAGCCCAGCACCCACACACCTCCAGGCTCTGCCCCCGCTTTTATTAGCAACCCCCCCCATAGAAAAGTGCAAGATGAGGCTGGACCAAGCGGTGCCCCCTCCCCAGTCAGGGTCTGGGGGGGTCTCTGCACCCTAACACTGAGAGCAGGATGGGCGGGCACCGACCCCGCCCCGGGGAGGGAGCGCCCAAAGGTGCTAAAGGGGGATGAAGGGGAGTGGGGAAGGGCAGAGGGGGGGTTTCAGCCTCCCCTCGCCCCCCCCCCGGTGGCCCCAGCCCGGCAGGAGGGGAGCCCCCCCTCAGTGGTCGCTGAAGCCGGGCATGGGGAAGGCACGAGCGAAGGTCTCGACGCGCTGGCGGAGCTCGCCCAGGCGCCGCTGCGTCTCGGGGTCCTGCAGCAGGAAGGTCTTGAAGTCCTGGAGCTTACCTGGGGGGGGGGAGGGGGGGGGGGAGGGCCCCGCGGGGGGGGGGGGCCCCGCCCGGGCGCCGCTGCGTCTCGGGGT